CCTCCCTTACTAAATGGTCAAGCTGCGATATCGCAGTTAAACCCCCACCCCCCCCTTCCCTCCCTCCCCCGCGTCTCGAATAGAGATGGTCTATTTACGGTATGAAATAATGCAAAAACGCATTATCGCATCAGCAGGCCCTAGTGCGTCAGCAAACATCTGGACTCGGTATTTTTGAGTAAATCGTGTAGTAGTTATGAAACTCGCTACCCTCCTCACCCTTTCCCTCAAAAGGAGAAAGTAAAGTACGGACTGTTTTAGTGGAAATTGCGGATCATTTCGCATGATTTTAATTTTTTGACTCAGCAAATTTGCAGAGGTTGCTGGAAAACGCGCTTTTTTAACTGCTGTACCAGTCCTGCACAGTTGGCAATTCAGCATATCAGGTTGGTTTGATCAAGTTTCTTTTGCAAATCATTCTTCTCGAATATGCATTTTACCAAAAATCCTTTTTTATTTACATGTAATAAAAGCAATTATTAGGCATTATTACAAGGAGAAGAATAAAAAGCGCAACTAAGCGAAGCACTAATCGAAATGTTACAAAATTCTGTCTTAACTTATATTATTGCTTCATCTATCCCATTCTAACAAAACAATTAAAATTTGATCATATTCATACTAATTACCACAATCGTCGTAATGACGAGGTCCAGTTGTGGTAATGGTAAGAAATGTATACGGCTCTTAATGGACCGAAATATTTTTTACCATTAAAAAAATTTTTCGGCATTTTATTAGTTCTACTTTTAACATAAAAATATTTTATTTTGTTTATCTTATTACATTATGGTATTACCCGCTGGACAGAAAGTCACATCAAGACTTGCTACGGCCATTAACCTTATCTTATTGCTAACTACGCCTCTGTGAATAACGTTCATGCTAAAATGTTTCGATTTACTGAGTTACGTAGTTGCACATTTCCTAGATGCGTTCCTCAAATTCTTAGAATCCGCCGAATTATTCTAGTTATGATGCGAACCTTTCCTTTTTTTTCCTCACTTTTGCTGTTCGTATAAAAGATTCTAAGCAGTCTCATTTTGAGTAGAAATAGTAGAGTAAGAAGATTGGAATTAGGTGTCATGTATAAGAAGGCATTTCACGATACAGTCTCTTTGTTTCATCCCTTAGCTGTGAAATACAGACCGACTATGCATGCGGGTAGAAGTGGGAGTCGTCAGTACAGCCTCCTACCCGCTATGTATTGAAAGGATACGTAACTAATTTGCAAGAAGGATAAGTGAAAACCTTTTCTTTCACGTTTTGTTTTAAAATGAATGTTTTTTGCGCAGTTGCCTGGGTGCTGTCATTTCCAAAAGCCGCTCGGTGAACTTCCGAAAATCCTCTCTCATTTGAGACTGACATTCGATCTGTGTTAGTTTAGTGATGGTACTTTTTGATAGAGCAACTGAGAGTTAGTCTCAATCTTTCACGAACTTCCGGCCTTTTCCCTCGTTTTCTTCGTTTTCCTCCTTTCTTCGTATTATTTCTTCAACATTTAATACCTAGCAGTCTTAAATGGCTGAGCAATACACTACCGCTCAATCGCCTTGCTCCAAACTATTAAAAATATCTCCGAATTTTACTCTGAGTTTTGAAGAAGCTGCTAAAAAATTTTTTTTTCTCACTGGAGACTCTCCGGAAATAAAATCCTGTTTTTTTTTTTTTTTTTAACAAATTCTGTTGTAGATATCGATGAAATGCTCTCAGTGCTTTGCGATTTTCCCGGCACAATGTATCGGCCGGCAAAATTACGGAAACTTTTTGCTTCACGAGCATGTCGAAAATCGGTTATGATTGGCACTGCGCTTACATTGCCACAAATGGAAAAGGTTTGCTTGCCGACGATGTTTCCCTGTTATTTCCCTTGATTTGAATTTCATTTCGAAGACATGAAATAATCCTTATCAACTAACAAAGAAACCGATCGGATTTCGGTGGAAAAATAATCATTGTTTGTTTGTGAAAAGCTGCATCTTTCATTTTTTTTACAGATTGTTCGTCAGCTTGGCACGCTCAATCATCCATGGGCAAGTTTTTGTCCATCTATTTGTTTTGTAATTTGAGAACGCGTACAGTCCTGTACAGTTTGCAGAGCCTCAAAACTCTTACACGACAAAATTGTTGTCGTTTGGTAAAAAAATGTCCCAACAACTCCCCTTCCTCCTTCATCCCGGGGCTTGTTTTAGCGAATTAATTTCGCTTAATTTTGCTAAATTTCAGAACTGCCCGCATGGTCGACCAACGCTTCGACATCTGTGCAGTCTCAGCACAAAAGCAGACGACGATAGGAGTGAGAAAGCACAGAAATAATAGTGCGAGTTTGTAAAAAGTTTGTAAAAATTTTAGGATCTTTTTCACACCTCAATGTAAATACTGTGTATTTTGTTGATTTTGTTGATTTCCTTGTATTATTATTTACGGGAACACAGGGAGCCCGTACCACTCGAAAATGATAGATTTTGGCACTTCTTTATTTAACTGGAAACAGTTTCGAACGATTTACTTATGCCAAAGATTCCATTGAAACAGAACATATTTCCATCAAATTTTAATGGGGTTTGTTTTTCCTTGTGGGTTATGAAAATGAAAAGTACTGGGACGAACTTACTATTTCTTCATAAACTGACCTTAACTTTAGTAATGAAAATAGGGCATTAAAGTTGAGTGATCTCTGAACTCTCCCATCTTATTTTGATCTCTGAACTCCTCATCTTATTTTGTATTTCGACTTCTACACAAAACACAAGAAAGATAAATAATTGGGCAACGCACGGGCTGCCCGTGCGAAGATGCGTTTTTTGCAGAGTTCCCCGCAGTTCTTGTCGCTACC